TATCTCAGTAAAACGGGGGGGAGGGGGGGAGAATGTATATCTTAAAGCTACAAATAGGTCAAAAATTTAACTAAGAGCCTTGTAGAGGGAAATATTTACAGTGAACTACACAACTCATAGTGTTCATAAGATGAACACAGTCAGTTTTTCCAAGCACAATTTTTTTTTTTCTATTTGGAGCACACAGCATTTGTCTCGGCTGCGCTCACCGCAGGGACCTGGTTTCTAACGAACAGTGTCCTGAACCACATTCTCCCTGGAAACCGTAACAAGCTTCCCGGGGAGTCGGAGCAGCAGGACCCGCTGGGCCATTTCCCGGGCCCTCCCGGGTCTGTAGGCTTCTGAGTTCTCATTATGAACTACTTGTCCGGCACTTTCCATGTGATTTTAATGTTTTGATTTCTGTTTTTAATCAGTGTTTCATTTTTTAATCTGCATCGTGTTTCTGCATTTGAAAAAAAAATTTGCCCCAATAATACAAGTATTTAAAATATTTTTTTCTAGACATTTGCAGTATAAATGGAATGAAAAGCAGAAGCTGTGCTACGTATGCCAGGGGGACGCGAGCTTTACCTACGGCTACGAGTACCTGGGCTGCACCCCCAGGCTGGTGGTCACGCCGCTCACCAGCAGGTGCTGGCTCACCCTCACCGGCGCGCTGCACTTGAACCTGGGCGGCTGCCCCTCGGGCCCGGCGGGCACGGGCAAGACCGAGAGCGTGAAGGACCTGGCCAAAGTACGTGCTTTCATGTCCAGAGTAAAGGCTTCTTTATAAGTCACAGACCTTAGCAGTCCCTGAAGCTGACACCATTTCCGTTGAGATGTTCACAGCCTGTCGCTAGCACAGCCCTTCATGCACCCCGGCGGCTAACACTTGAATGGCTGTTTGGTGGTGGCATTTAGGCTCCTCAGCAAGTCAGCATCTGCTCTGTATTTACTTGGAAAACCATTGAACTAACCAACTGGCATGTGAATGACACTTGTGTCCCCCCTTCCCCTTCCTGAAGGGGTGATTGGTTTATTTTGTGCCCCATGCACAGATTTTTGCCTAGTCTTGGTGATTAATAGCTGTGTGTGCTTGTGTGAGAGAGACAGACAGAGACAGACGAGACAGAAGTGACGGATGAGAGGATATAGTTTATGACTTCGCTGGAATGCTTTTCTCTTAGTTTTTCTACTTGTCGATGTGTTTAAAAACACGGCCTTAGTGCTCCGTGTGCTAATCAGCTGAACTGTAATAGTAGATGCACATTGCCGCCAAGTTGAGTTTTGTGAGTTTTTAAATTTGGTATGTAAGTCATCTTTAATTGCAAAAGTTTTCTCAAAAGAATAAAGACATTTTATTACTCTGGAAGCTTTAACATTAGTATTTTGTGTCATAATTCAAGAAATGTATTAAAGTAATATTTTTGTTTCCCAGTCCTTAGGTAAACACTGTGTGGTCTTCAACTGTTTTGAGGATTTGGATTATAAGGTAAAGCTTATAGACTCACGTAAAAATATTGTACAAATAAATTATTCATTGAGGATTGAAAGAACAAGAAAAGTATCTTAGAGATACATTAAGTAGTAATAGAACTATAAGTGCTATTAATAATTTAAACTCACAATAGAAACTTAGAATGTAATATAAACTTAAAACATTATAGTTTGCTTTCATTCAACTGAACTGCTTCTTAAGACTCTGGTTTTCAAACTTTTTGATAAGGATCTTTCCAAACCAAACTTAATATGGAACATGCATAAATTTTTTAAAATTAAGAGTACTGCTTTATGTATATAAATTTATGTGTTCTAATCCTGTACATTAATTTACTAAAAAGGTAAATCATTAAGAACAATAGGCTCTTATGATAACACAGAAATTTGAGTCAGAGTTTATGTAGACGATGAGACTTTGTCAGCCTTAGTTTGTTTCGGTTGCACTTTATCTAAGACATGTCTCGTAATCTGAACTATATATTAAAGTTTCACGTGCCTCTGTGCCTGTCACAGATTTTCTCAAAGTTTCAAAACATTGTATTTTGCCTGTTAAGTCTCAACCCTTTACATTTTATCGCTGTCATTTTATTTGCAGTTCAAAGCACATTACGTCTGAGATCCCGTGTTCCCAATTTGTGCTCACTTTGCATATTAACAAAATCAATAAATAAGCTGATTGAATTATTATTAAGACACTTACCAAGTAGAGTCTCTTTGGAGGGAAACTGCCTTCCAGCGGGCACAGCAGGACCAGGGGGAGGGTGACCTGAGTGAGGCTCTCGCTTGCTGAGCAAAACCGAAAGGGGGACCAAAAAAACTAATACTCGAGGTAAATAATATTTTTAATGCAGTATTTTCTAGAAGGAAAATTAATGCCAAAAAAAACCCCATGATAAACACAGTATCAGATATTTAAAGAAAAACAGGTGCTGATTCCTGCACTGGGAGGAAGGAACCAACTTCTCTGCCCTGGGCCTGAGGCTCT